CTCACTTTGTTTAAACAGATTTTTATTGAAATGTTTAGCAATTAAAAAGACTTGCAGCAGAAGTACCAGCGTAGCATCCAATCTTATTAATATGTAGGTAGTCACAGATAATTCAAAGTTGCATGGAAGGACAATGAAGTGAAGAAAACAAACAGGTAGGTGACTTCTATAGTTGCTTTCTGTCTCAGAGAACAGTACTGCCTGCACTTACTACTACTACAGAATGCCATAACCATTTTATAATCCCCAAGCAAGTAATGATCAATAATTGCAGAAGTCTTACAAAGTAAGTTAAATGTTCTTGTTTTGTTTCCTCTAATGTTCTACAGTACAAGTTGGGTACTACTTCTCAAACTGAAATTTCCAAGTATTAAGATCCCTGAAGTTATGAACTCCAAATATTAACTACAAGAAATTGAGTTATTTCAAGTTCACAGATATAAGTTCCCTAAATCTGACAGTACTTAACATGCAATCAACCTATTAAAAAAAATTGGTGAATTCATAAATTTCAACAGCTCTGTGATCACAGATAAATACTACACTTTCATTTTGCCATTACATATCCTACTATGTATCTACTTCTTGGGTTTTGTGAGAATTTTGAATGTTGGCTTTTATTGTTTTTGTTGTTTTTAAGTACAGAGCTAGCTTTCACAGCCCCATATAGCAAAATATTTCCCTTGGCTCACATAGTTTTTTTGGCTGTAGAAATTTCCCACCTTTTTGTTGATGTAAGATTCTGCAATACTACAGTTATTCAAAATGGAAAATTGGACTGCTTTGAGTCAGACAATATTTGTATATTTAAGTGGGTTTTTTTAAACCAACTCATTTCCCTTGAACTTTAAAGCCTGTAGAAAATCTTTTAATTAAGTTCGAAAAAGTAAATAACTCCTTGTGATGTTTGTTCTTTTTCTCTCCTTATATTTTGTATTGACATTTGTATTACTTCCTTAGAAAAGTTATGTTTAAACATATACAATAACAATATTTTATGTATCTACGTAGAGCAAGAGTAGCTAAATGAAGAGCGGCTAAGTGAACTGTCTACTTTGAGTCAATACATCTCTTAAAACAAAAAAATAACATGCAGCTGTGCAGGTGCCCACACACACAAGAATGGCCAGCTAATGCTAGTAAACTTTTTAGGAGATGCACAGAATCAAAAATTGTTTTGAAATATTTAGACTTCAGAACGTAAAAGTAAAAATCTTTTAGACATCTACACACATCTAAAACTTACATACATGAAATTGGAGATTTTATCCCAGCAAGCATTTGAGCCTACAGTTTGTCACAGTCCAGAAAGTACAAACTTTAAAACCTTAAAATATTATCTACAATCATAAAACATGCTGAATTATCGTTTCTGTCAAGTGTCAAATAACCTTTTATTCTGGACTATTAAATAACACACACAACAGCCTAATAAATCACCTTCAACTGTATAAGCAATTGACTTCCAGGTGGATTACAGAGGGGTATTAGTTCAACATGCCATGTTCCATTAATGTGCTTCAAATGATTAAATCTTCTGAAAATGGCTTAGAGATTACAGGCCATGGAAATCTGCATCCACAGCAACATTCCATGTGTATCCACATTTCCTGTTGACATTTAAGCTATTTTACAAATTTGCAACACTGTGTAAGCAATGGACTATCAGAAGCTTCAAAGCTTACATTCAAAGTCTTACTGCAGCCACAGAACATAACTGTTAAGTCTTATGACATGCTGGCTTACAAACCAATTAAAAAAAACATCCTGGCTGATGGTACATCTTGTTTAAATTTTTTTTCCTCAACTATACTGAGAGAAGGAATATTTCAAGATTTTTGGTCCAAAGACAACACGTTTATAATTTTTGTACTTGGTGCTAGCATCATAAAATAAAAAAATACAGTCTGGATTTCAATATGCATTTTGCTCTATTTTTAATCCATTAAAGCACAGCTGCATCTTCCTCTGAAATAAAGGCATAGAGGGATTCTACAAATACTGTCCATGTGTCAAAGACATAAATCCAACGTCTGTTATCTCCATGAAATGATTTTTTCTTTACTCTGACTCACTTGTCTAATGAACCGAAAGTTAAACTTCTTTCTCATATATGCCACCTATAACTAAGATTGATAGGGTTAAAGTAGCTTTAATTGCCATCGTTCAGTTTGTACATTTGAATGGAACCGACTTCTAAATGCAAGGCAGTAATTAATATTCACAGCTTTAGAAACATCCTAAAATCCAGTTAACAACCTTAGAAGGATTTATCTGCATAACAAAACACCGGAGGAGTAAATACAGAAGTATTACTCTGCACAACTGCCTTTTTGGGGTTTTTTAGTGTGCATTTAAGCTTAGGTTGTTTTCTGTCAGTTTGAGAGCACTAATCCTTATATTCTATTCATAAGGAAAATATCTACACATAAGATACAAGTATCTGCTATTATTTTAGTATTGCTTAGTGGTAGACTGATCACAGCACACTAAAAAGTTGTCTCAACTGTTAGGATACAATTTTGCCAGCTCTCTGGAGCTCTTCCATTAAAACTGTCTAGTTCTGTGACATTTACCTCAATCTGACAGTGATCTCAGCATATCAGTGACTGGAGCACTGTGATGTTTACCAAAAGCCTACAGAACTGGACAGTTTTAACCTACCATAGTACACTATTCTTTTTTAGCACTAACCTGTTTATCTCAGTCCAATTAATATTATGCTTGATTCACACAATCCTTGAGCAAAGAACTGTCTTTTGGCATACCCTTTGCACAGGAAAGTCTTTGACCATGAACATGGCCCATACAAGTAATACAAACAAATAAGAAAGCTTTTCACTGAATTCAATACACAAGGCATCAATTTCTGACTTGAAAACTCATTTCAACTACGACTGCAGGTCTAAGGTGACCAGGCCTACATTTTACAATAAGAGCATCTTCACACTGCTCCAAAGATTAAATCATTAATATTTCTGCTTTGCTTGAAACAAACACTCTTACTGGATGTTTTATTAACATTCCACAAGCCAATGTTGTTGATTATAGTGTTATCACACAAACGAAGCCATTTGTTACAGAATAAAAAAGATTCTTTTTGTTTATATTTCACTAGGTCAAAAAGAACTGGCAAAGAAGCACTGCAATTCATTTCTATGTTACTGGAAACAGTTTTCATAAACATGAAGCTTCTTTTCTGGTTATATCAAAGAACATCAGATGTGATGTCAGAGGGCTTACCTATTTAGCTTTCATCAACTTGATGTTATGTTTATGTTTCCTAGCTGCTGTTTTAAGTTTTATAACAACATTAAAGACTGGCAAAACTAACATATTTTACCTGGACTCTCCTACATAGTTCTGGTTGCTGGGATATTCTGCTAAGAAGTCTGACTCAACAAGAACACGAGGATGGTTTATCATATACAAAACACTAGTACTGCGCATCCAGACAAGACTGAAAATAATCAAGATACAAAGGCTTGCAAAATTAACAGAATAGTCATAACTTGTGCATCTGTGTTCTCTATGAATTCAATTAATGAAACTCCAATGTGAGTGAATGAAAAGAATATATTCTGTTTTACAGTAAGATCTCAAATTCTGATTTGTATCTGATACCTCTACCCTGAGGCTTCAGAAAATTCCTTTCATACCTCCTCAGCCTCCTGACACGCATTCTGGTTGCCTGTTCTTTGCTTTAGCCAGCCTCTTTCCACTTCAAGCAAAATATTAAATAAAACACTTTTCCTTGAATGCTTATCCTCTTTTTTCAGCTAATACTGTTACTATTGCAAGCTCCCACATTTGTTTGCAGTTTAGAACCTTCTATTTTCCTATCAAGACATTTCAGAACAGTATTTATTTTAAAACATTTAAAAAAAATCAGAAATTCTATGTTCAAGCTTATCCTATACTATAGAAAACTCAGAACACCAAGGTCTGAGCAGTATTCTGAAACAAGTCCTTTGAGCATATGGGAAACCTAAGGAGCACACACCTTACATTACAGTACAGAGATCTTGGGCCTACTGATGACAGAACCTGCAGACTCCCTTTTAGCTCTCTGGGGAGTCCTATAATTTCAGATGCAATAGTCCACAGTTCAATTTCTTGCTGGAGTGGATTCTTCACAAGTAGAAATAAACCTTGATTTAACCTCACTTGGATACACTCCTGTATTTCATACTGGCAATGTAGCTTAGAAAATATTTATTCTTGCCAGAATGCACTTCTATATTAGCAGATATTGTTATATGGTTGAAGCGCTTTCATTGCATGACCTTCTTTTCATTAACTTAAAATAACTTTCCAAAATAATTATTTCTAGGCTAGTATTTCTCATGCTTGTTCTCAGAATAGAGGTCTAATCTTACCATTCTCAATTTGAAGAGAATGTATTCAGTTGAGGATTAGGCTTTAAACATATCCTGATATAGTTGTTTTTCTAAATTGTCACCAACGACAAAAGTTCCTCACTGCCACTCTCATTTCTTGTTCTCCCCTTCCTTATGATAACTGAAATAGCACTTTTTTCTTTTGAAATTCCTTATGAAGCTCTTCCCTGAAGTTAAGATATTTAGAGCATACTGTGACTACACTCGCTGTCTGAGTTTCTAAAATAACCCCAATACCTGTATTGCATGGATTATTTGTAATTTTATGTATCATATGCATTAATCGATACATTCCCTATATCAAAGAATTTTAATATAATCATAAATGTATGAATTATTTCAATTATGTTAATATATTAAATTCTTGAAATAGACGTTAATGCTGTACCTCTGAATCTATGAAAGCTAGAAAACTAGTCAAGATTTCAAAACAATATGCTATTTCCTAAGTAAATACAGCACAAGGTATCAAAACATAACAGCACTATACGATCTTGTGGTCAACACAGCATCTAACAACACAACTTAAGGAAACAGATTACTGACCCTGGAATACAGTAGATCAAGATGGTAAAAATGAAAAATTAGTTTTATGCAAACCTTATGTTATGCCACTTGTCAGCCTGTGTCATGCACTCTTCAGCCATCGAGTCTCCTGTGAACAATGGAAGATTGAGTAAATCACAACTTCTATAATAAAAATTGTTTAGTCTTTCTTTATGATAAAAATCTATGGCAATTCACTCTAACTAGACTCAAATTTAGTATTGGTTATGAAACTTCTAAAGCATTTCCAACACTTTCATATTCAGTCAGAATTTTCAGTTGATGCAGTATCACATAGAAATCCTGTTTTCAATATATTTCAGTCGAATGCTCAATACACCAATTTCTGATCTCACAGCTTCCTTGTATTATTCTTCAAAGCACAGGAACAATTCAGAGACACAAAGAGCCACATCAACATTGAGCCTTACATGTTTCAGTAAATAAAACAAAGGGATTTGACAACTCCAGCAATAACTTAGTCTTTTTAGATAAATAAAAAAGCCAGTAAATTAGAAATACTTTCATTTTAGACAATATTGTGAAATTTAAATAAAATGAACTCCACTGGTTAACAGATTGGTTTCTAACAGTAATTTAGAGATATATATATTTAGAGATATATTATCAATAAACCACTGCAATCCCACTGTTTTTACTAAAGAAATGCAACTGAATATTTAAAACATATTACTAGCTAGGGAATAATTGGCTTTTAAGTCAACTGTCACACTGATATAACCACAGACCAAAGAGCGACAGCAGTGTTAGTTACAAATTCACCCAGATGAAATAGAAATAATTAGGTGTAAAAATTCAGTCTCACACTTAGTAAGACCGAACAGTACACAGTAAAGGATCAGTGTCATCTAAAGGCAACTGCAGTGTATGCCGTATCGCCTGATCCAAAAGTAGCGACCTCTTTGATTCAAATGCAAAATATCTTCTCCTGCTGCAGATGGAATTCACAAGGAAAGTGTTCAATAGAAAGATGACATTTTCAGTGGGGCAGAAAAGTATTTGTCAGTGCCTTATTACATCTTGGATTTCAGTTAGCTTTGAGATAAAACAGCAAAAAAAAAACCAGCATTAAAACTACAGCCAGATCTTTGCTTCTTGCACCATTACATCTGGATCTTTTTTCATTTGCAATAAGATATTGTAAGGCTTCCAAAAGAAGAGAAATAGAAATCACATTTCAGTCATTTTAATGCCAGATATATGATGCACTTCATGATGTCTGTCTAACTCTGCACTAGGAGATAAGGGTGACATCATTTACATTTTCTCCAGCACAAAAGAAAAGCGCTGAATTCCTTGAACCGTAACTGCCCCATCAATTCTTCTACCCTCACATCCCACTTCCTATTATTAACACTGCATATCCATTCTGATGCTTTTGATCCTCTACTATGAAAAGTAATTTGCCTTCTCGATGGATAAGTATGAAATTTGCTTTAGCACATTTCATGAGTTCAAACACTGGCCCATATAAATTTCCATCATGGGAGGTTACCTTTTAACTACAAAAATGTACAGATTTAAACATTTAAGATGCTTACTTGTGTTTCTTATTTAAGGACACAAGTATGTTTTTTGCTGGGTTGATCACAGAACTAGGAGTTTGGAAGACAATTCTTAACTGTCTCTGTGCAACCCTGATTTGGTATTAACTTCTATAAAACCCTGGATAACACTTGTCATCCTTTCCTCATATCTATGTTATAATTAGAATGACTGGCACAGATGTGATGGTGTTACAAAAGGAAAGGTACCCACCTGTCTCTGAAGACATAGGCTCAGAGAAGAGACTCCACAAGGGAGGGATCTTCAACCAGAGATCCTTCCCCAGTGGCAGTCAGCCCTTAAACGCCATCTAAAAGAGGTGCAGCCAGGCTCCACCCCTTCTGGAGACACACCTGAATTGCCTTCACCTGTGCTCCCAGGGCTGACCAGGTCCTTTCCCCAGGTGCTCAATCAGTGCTTCAGGCCATGACTCAGCAGTTCCCATACACTGTGGTATGAGGATAGCTCAGCCAACTCAGGAAATGTGACAGGAGGGAAAAGCCAAAAAATCATACAGGTATGATTCAGTTGTTGATTTCTTTGTTAGCAAAGAACTTAAGCTCTACACCACACAGATATGGTTACAGTAACATCCAAAATTACATATTATGCCTTCCATTCAAAAAAGCAGCCTTTCAAATATCAATTCCCACAGCTGTAAGAAATACTGTTACTAAAATAATTAGTTAGTTTTACACATTAAGAAACTGAGAAGAAGAGAAACTAAAGACCGGCCTGTAATACAGGGATCATATCAGGATCAGTACAGGCAAAAACTGGTGATAAAATACTCCTCTCTTGATTTCAATGGGAAATGGAAGATTTAAAACACTTGCCCCAAGAGAAAGGACAAAATCTGGAAAAGTGGTCAATTTTAGAACAAATTGTTCTTTTGGACATAAAATTCACCCTATGAAGAAGGAATTACAAAATGATTGACATCAGTAAATATAAAATGATAGTATCTAATACATCTGTTTATACTTATTTTGGAATCTAAATAGCTGAAAATATGTGATAGTAGTTGGACATTTGCTATCTGTGGACACAGGCAATGGAGTGAGAAAACATCTTTAATTGACGTTCTTCCTCATTTCCCCATGCACTGGTTAACAAATACCAAGATACAACACTGTATGACTACACTGAACAAAAAGTTTTTTTCCTGATTAGAGCATTGCTTAAATATCACACACTTCTGCTGATTTTCAGAACACCTGTAAATAGGTTTCTCCCTATATATCTATAACATTTGCAAGCTTCAATATCTTTTACTACACAGTACTAAAAAATAATGCAAAATACAAACAAAACGTACTTACAAAAATAGTTTATCACATTGCTATAGAAGTTAGCTTTAACAACCACAGAATCACCAAGGTTGCAAAAGACTTTTAAGATAACCCAGTCCAACTGTCCACCTATCACCTATGTTTTAGTTCTCACTAAACCATGTTCCTCAACACAAAATCCAAACATTCCTTGAACACCTCCAGGGTCAATGACTCCACCACCTCCCTGTGCAGCCCATTCCAGCGCCTGACCACTCTTCCAGAAAAATAGTATTTCCTAACATCCAGCCTGAATCTCCCCAGTGCAACTTGAAGCCATTCCCTCTAGTTCTACCACCAGTTACGTGGTAGAAGAGGCCAATCCCCAGCTCACTACAACCTTCCTTCAGGTAGTTATAGAGAGCAGTGAGGTCTCCCCTGAGCTTCCTCAGGGAGGAGTCTAACCTTTATCAGGTTAGACTCTGCTTTGTGTAAGTAATGCTGAAAAAAAAAAAAACCCTGCCATATCATGTAGGATCTTTTAAAGAATACCTAAACATATTTTATCTCCTGGAAAACTCATGGAGTTTCCAAAAGTGTTAACTTATCTTTAATACTTCATTAAAGTTAAATGAAATCTAAATTTCATGAAAATATTTTTCTGCAAGTTTAATATCAGTGAAGAACTTCTTTTTTTCTTTTCTTTTCTTCCCCCCCCCCCAAGGTTGCTTTTAAACAACCAATGCTACAAAAGATCCTAAACTGCAGTTTCATAAGACAGCACTTCCTGCCAAGGATTACATGCAGGTTGTTTCCTCCCCTACTCGCAGCATCACACAAACCCTGATGTGGAAAGGATGTCCAACCTACTGTAACAGAGCCACAATTCACACCTAACACAGACCTCATTTCCTTAAAACTTGAAACAAATACCAGCAACAAACTAACAAACCAAAACCACAGAGCACTTCTCTGACACAAACAGGCTCATCCTAGAATGCTTTTTCTAGCAGGAAGGATGGGTTTGACTACATAGTCAACTGAAACCTAAGAGCCATCAACATGGCGCTGATGACACCTGTGGTTCGAAGCAATTCTTGGATAAACACTCGCCAGCAACACACCCGTAACACATGTATGGACAAAAATTAGAAGCAGTATTTCTTTGTTTGTAACATTACAGGGTGTGTCTCATTGAACACTTTTTTGGAGCGTTAAAATCAAGCGCCATGAGAAGACACAAACTTATAAACCTTGCATAAGTTCACACATACATATTCAATTCAGAAAACTTACAGAAGCTTTTCACAGTTTGATTTTTTTTTTTCCTTTTTTTTCTGTCCTAATACAGATGCATTAACACATTGAATGATAGGCCATTCACACCCAGCCAGATTTTTTCCTAGAACTTTGAACAAGAGAAAAAACAAACTACTTGCACTGATCAGATTATTTCTCAAGGAGACAATCCAAACTATTTGTCAGCCAGATTAAGTGAAAGGCTATAAGTATGCCTAAGTTTTGTTCAAGCAAAATACAGAGTCCAAGTTTATTCTGATTTAAAGTTAAAAAAAAAAAGGGGGGGAGGAGGAGGAGAAGTAAGATAATAAGCTTTTCTAGGAAGCCAGCCCATAATTAAGGAAAAATTTGTTTGTTTAAAATATATAAGTTAAACCAAACACCAGCCCTAGAATAGCAAGCAGACAGGTAAGCTTCCTAAGCACTTTCGTGTTGATGTAAGCTGTTAAGTTTGGATTTTTTTTCTCAGCTTTTTTCAGAGGAACATAGATGGATGCAGAGATTCCCAGTGGCTGACATCAACATTTCTTAAATACAACAAAAATAAGAAACATTTTCCAATACGGTTTAGCTACAGCATTATTAATTGACAGTCAACCACCTCTTCAGAATAAATACTGACACCAGACATAACACTATAATGCAATGGAAAGCACAGCAATAAGAACAAGGTAGCAGCTTACCTTTAGAACATCTCCAGGTACACAAGAATCTCCAGCAAGATACTCACACCACTACTGCCAGCTCTTAAATGAAGTCTGGAAAGGGGTGGACCCTGGCTCCACCCCTTCCAATCACTCAGGTACATTGCATGCACCTGAGCTGCCCTGGGTTGGCCTGCCTTCCCACCAGGTGCTCAATCACTGCTTCAGGCAACTACTCAGCATTTCTGCTACAGCCAGGTTTGCAGGAAATTCCATTACAGTCATTCCAAATTGTAAAAAGCCTAAACACCACTGCAAGCACACTCTCTGTGTAAACAAGGAGGTTTAAATTCTGTAACACTCAGGTAAATATCTAGCTGGAGAAGGGCTATCTTTGGTTTGGGCCGAGCAGTTCAGGACACAGAACGTAGTTCTGTAACTGGTCCCTTCTCACTGTACTCCATCTGCCACCTGTGATATGTCCCAGCCAGGTGCTTACGGACAGGCAGATGACTGCAACCAGGGTTATAAGAGATTTACGACACCATCTCTTTTCTGCTCACGTATAAATAAGGCACAGCAGTTTGGATTCCGTTAATAAAACATCCATCTCCAACTATCTACTGCCTTGCAACTTTACTAAAATCAAAGGTTTATTTCAGTTAAAAAGCAGACGTTCTGAGAAATATATTAAAAATGCTGCTTGCATGTTTAGCTCTGTAGTTTACCACCATGTAATTTCTTCAGACCTTCTTCCAAAACATGAGCAAGTTTCTTTTAAACACCTCCAAAAACCAACAAACCCTATTTGTATTACTTTTAGCAGTAAAAACTCTGTGGCACCAAAACACAACTTAGTGATGCTGCCACTGAATTACTCAGCTCCTCCCCAAATGAATGTGATGCTATGAAAAGTTAACTATAAGTCACCTTTTTTCAACATCAGTTACACAACAAAAATATCACTAAACAAGAACAGAGCACCAGCAGCTTGGAACTCTGAATTCTACACCCTGTGGTCTTGTTACTGAGTCTTTTCATCTTTCTGACTTCATCTGCAGATAACGAAGTATTAAACCTTTCTAGAATTATATGTTTTGATGCTAATGCATGAAAAGTGCATTCATTTTTTGTAAACTGAAATACTTCAGTGTGCCTTTTAAGATTATATAAAGATTATATTTTTGGCTCACATTAAGAAAAACAAGTGTATTCTTAAAGTTTAAAGAAGTCCCTGAAAAGAAGTGAATGCTTTTCATTTATCCTGTTACCTTTTGGTTAGTAAGACAATGCAGTGCTTATGAAAAGAACTCTGTTATCCCATTAACAAATACGTGAGCATATTCTCTCTTTGATGATCACACCAAACTTCTGTAAACGTTAATGGGAGTATGGCGTACAAAGTGAGGGTAGAATACAGCCTGGCATACAACACATCCAAAATAGTTCCTTGTGGCTGATCTCTTGGCAGTTTTCATACTCTCTCTTAAAACCATTAGAATTTGTGCAGGCACTGGTGCATTACAGGATCCCTTAAGTAGCTCTCATTATCTCCTCTCTTCTTAACCACATAATGGGAAAAAAATGAGAGCACTGTACACAGACCACACTGAAGAAGGAAAACTTGCCTTGAAATTTTTCAACTGGTAAACCTATTTTCTATAATGCTTAGTAGTGAATCACTCTTAAGTGCTGGACAATTCACTCATGTATGTGGTCTGTGCCAAAGGTTATCAGATTGCAAAAGTGTTCACATCTTAGAAAGAACCCATCATTCACCATCACCTTACTCTGACACAACAGGAACAAAATATGTCCCTCTAGAAGGAATAAGAGAGGGGGGAGAAGGGCAGAGAGTATCCCATATTAACACTGCCACACATTGTCTAAGGGAAAAGTACAGACTACTGTAATGATAATATAAAAGTTACGTTTTTACATTATGGAATGAGATCTTCCTAATTATTTTAAGCGCATGGAGCCTGTAAGATGGAGAAAATTAAACTGGAGACTGATGTTCTCAATGGAAGGTAGACCAGCTGCCTTCTCCCAGTCTCTCATACCGCTAGAGGCCATCGCAGCAGTGGCAGTTACTTGGAAGGAACCACCCTCTCCAGCATAGCTTTTGGGCTCATGCACAGCAACAGATCAACGCTGCCCTCCAGCAGCCCGGCAGGGTGACAAGGCATACCGATGGCCTGCTCGCCTTTGCTGTCCTCCCTTCTCCCAGTTCAGGCAGCATGGAAAGTATGTTCTCCTAAAGACACAAGTAGAGGTTCTTCTGAATTGACTGATGGCTTCCTGTGTTTAGTGTGGATTCCTGCCTGTCTGCAGCAGGGACCAAACTTATGTTTCTCATTCCTTTGCATGTATCAAAATAGTTTCTCAGTAATACACTAATTCTGTTTATGTGGGTAACTGTTAGGCTAGGGCAGGTGCTCAGGTCTTACCTAGGCTGTGTTCACCCCACACCCGGTGCATAAAACCCTTAAAAACTACTGTTTCCTCAGTCCTACAGATAGAAAGGTGCCACCTCACAGTGTAGTTTCTACTCATTCTATCACACAATGAAACTGGGGTTTGCTGTTCCAGATGATGCTGTCACCACGAAGTTGAGGCTAGGAGAAAGTGCTTACTTGAATGCACCCACAAACAGCATTATTTGCAAATCTGTCCTCCCATCACACACCTTGTGAGACTAACAGCTGAAGAAAGATTTCTCCAAGTATTTCACTTTATACCACTATCACTTGTGAGATTAATGACTGAAAAAAAATCACACATGCTTTTGCAGTTATCATTCTGTCCATGTTTCTGTCACTGCTACACTGACCAAGACAGAGCTCTTTAAAAACTATTACTGTCATTTACGAATAAAAAAAGGGATGTCACAGTTGCAAAAATTACCTATTGTATTACTGTATTTTCTAAAATGGAAGACTAACACAAAAAGTAATACAACATTCAGCAGGTGACTGTAGGCTCAGGATCAAGAAATACGCTTCAGTGAATCAAAAATCAATCGGCTAAATTAATCACAAAAGTGAAACATCTGGTTCCCAAGAGATATTACTAGAAAACTTCAAATGTAAGATTGATTGACTGCATGGCCAAAGAAAAGCACAGCTACAGCATACAACAATTTCTGCTCCAACGTGTGCACATTATCATAAGTGACATTAGAAAACTCAGGTAAAAAAAAAAAAACAAAAACAGAGATGAGAGCTGCTTGTGGAAGTTCATTACTTTTACATTTCCATCTCCAAAGAAAGATGGAATCCCCTTTCTAGCACATCATACAATTTTCTTTGACAGTTTCGCTGATAAGCACTTACAGTTTCTCCGAATGGTAACACCCATACCCTCACAAAACACACGGAGGTTATCTGATAATCAGAAGCCGTCTAGACAACAGACAGCTCTTCTCACTTTTCTGGAGGTGCAGCACGAGCCCCGAGCCACACGGGAGCTGCAGAGAACGACTCCTGCAGCAACCCGGGCTGGGAGCCATCCCAGCACAGCGCCAACCGACCCGTTTGTGACTCGTGGAGCCTCAACGCAAACGCAGGCAGCAGGAATTCTGAGCACGTCCTCAACGGACCTAAGTGCTCGGAGAGCCAGTGATTTAAAATAAGCTATTGGCGTTTGCAATAGCAGAGAATTAACCGTGTCTGGGGATGACTGTCATCGCCTCTGACAACTGCCTCTCACAGACCGCAGTGAGCGCACACTCGAGGCACGTGAGCTGCCTGTGTTACTTCTGCTTCGGTGAATAGTTTTGGAAGATCAGTGCTCTGAGGAATCGAGCGCTCCTCGGAGATGTTAGCTGCCAGCATCACCGGCTCGGGGGACAAAAGGTAGAAAACCACGATGTATGTCTGCAAAGGGGACAAGCGGCAACATTCTTCCATTAACTCAGGACCGCTGGGGAATAGCAATGTCACTTCACCATCAGCTGGCACTCGAGCAAAGCGAAAACCGCATCACCTCATACCTGCCTGTCACGCTCCAAGAGAAGTCCCGCCCCATCCCGCTCACCTCAGGGCTGCCCGCTGCCAGAGGCGCGAAGGCGCGGCGCCGTGTGGTGAGGGCGCAAGTCGCTTCCCGCGCGCCGCCCCCGCCACGGCCGCCCCGCGGCACCAGAGCGGGATGCGCATGCGCGCGCGCCAGCCGCCAGCCCGCCCTCGGCACGCGGCGGCGCTCGCCTCTCGGCCCCGCAGAACTACAGCTCCCATGGTGCACCTCGCCCGCCCGGCCCCGCTCACGCCGTGGGGCGCCGAGGGCGAGGCCCGCCCGTCGCAGCGCGCTGCACGCCGGGCGTCGTCGTTCTCTGAGCCGCGTCGTCGGCGCTCGACAGAAGGGGCGGCGTTGAGGCTTCTGAAAGCGCCCCCCGCCCTCTCGCGTCGCTCCGTGCCCGGTCCCTAGCGAATTCCTGCGATCGCTCCCCGTCGCGTTGCGTTGAAGCCTCCGCGGCCGCCGTAAGTCCCCGCAGCGCCCTGCGGACGGTTTGAGCCTCCGCGCCCGCCGTAGGCCGCCGCCCGTCAGCTGCCGCCGCCTTTGTGGAGCGGGCGGAAGCGGAGCGGGCGCTGCTGGGCCCGGCCGAGGGCGGAGGGCGCGGAGCTGAGCGGGTCCCGCCGGCAGGTGCGCGGGGTCCTACGGCGGGGCCGGGGCCGCCGTGCCACCGCTGTGCCGCCCGGCCCGGCCGCGAGGGGCGCGGCCGCGGGCGGGGCCTGGGAGCGGAGCGCGGCCCGGGGGCAGCGTCGGGCGGGGGCCGCTCTGCAGTGCCGGCGGTGCGTTATTGGCTTTTAGCGCTTCAGCGTTGGCAGAGAACGTGGCTGAAAACCTACTGATGTGCGCGCTGGGGTTGGGCGGGAGGCGCGCGTCGAGTTCTGCTCTTAGATGCGCTATGCGGGCACGCGTAGCCGGGTGTTCTCGTTGTGCGCCCGTGAGGGCTTGTATCGCTGATGCGTGTAACGGCTGTAGGCCCGCAGCCGTGCCGGAGCCACTCCTGCGCTGTGGTTACTGGCGTTGACATGCTGAGCAGGAAGATGCGGCCGCTGTTGGCCCTGCCTGCTCACACGGCTTTTCCTGCCCGGCTTCTGAGCGTCGCCTCCTGAAGGGGTTTGGGTTTGGTCTGCTTTTGTTCATGCTTGGCTTTCCCATCTGTGCTTGACCAAATGTAGCAAGTCTTTGGTAGAATTTCTGTCGTTGGAAGCCCTGCCCATTTCTTAGCAGTGTACACAAGATCTATAAATGAAAGACAAAAAGATCAGCGATGCACACACTTCACAGGGTGTTTTTGGCCCCCCTCCAGTTACCTACTCTCCTTGCCAGTTACAGTAATACTACTACATCTTTGATTAGGTTGGTGTTTTGGCTCCTGCAAGCACGTCTAAAGGATACATCGCATTCATCCTGCTTGGTTATAAAATGCCAGTAATTAAGGGGCTGCAGTAAAAAGTAAAGATGTGTGGCCACCCTTCCTACTGTTTGCTGTGTGCAATACCATCAGTGGCTCTGGGGCTGTGTAGAATTCTGTGCAACATAACATAACCTCGTCTTCAGAGCTCCATGTATCATTCAAAGCAGCTTTTCTGAAAAAGCTCTTCAGAAATACATTGGGAAAAGGTGCTGTCACCTTGTCATCCTTCTGTCTTTTAAAACAATCTTTTTAGCAGTGAGAATCTGACAAGTGTGAAAAAAGGAATGTTTTCAATTCTTCAATTATAATTTTAGGACTTTTCATTGTTTTGTCTTTAGCCACTTAGCAGTTACATTAATGACAACAATTTTTCTGTAAATGAGCAATCTTAATCGAACAAAACTGCTTGGAGTGATTTCTGTGTTGATCAGTGTTGCAGTCATGTCTGACAAAAGTGAACTGAAGGCGGAGTTGGAGCGCAAGAAGCAGCGATTGGCTCAGATCAGGGAGGAGAAGAAAAGAAAGGAGGAAGAAAGAAAGAAAAAAGAAGTAAGAAACTGTTTTCTCTTTGAAACCTGTTTGCTAATGTAACTTGCCCCAAATATATGTAACGTGCCTAAAAAGAGAAGGTTCACTTAGTCATTTGCTATGTGCTATCTAGGGAATGTCTATTTAATGGTCTATGCAAGTATAGTGCTTTCATTTCGTGAGAACAAAAACCTGATTTTTAGGATTGTCCATACAGTAAGGTAGATTTTGAAAACGCTTGCATTTTTAGAAATAAGAACAACAGTCTTGTGTGCGTGGGACATTGTTAATGAAATTACTGTGAGGAGTGGCTGAAGTATTACTCAAAAACCCTATTTAATTATTTGTGATGGCATAATTTAGAGAACTCTGTTCTGAAATGAAGTTTCAGAGATGTCTGGATGAACTGTCTGCCAGTATTGTTACCATACAAACAATATGTTATGTTTTTTGGCTCTTTGACGCAAAATTTGTTATGCTTGATTTCTTTCTGCTAAGTTATGTGACAATCTGTGATACATCACTAAATTTCTCCTGAAAGGGGATTGTACATCATCAACACGATGTCTGCTGAAGTGCTTTAGTGTGCTGTGTCACCTCTTCATGATGTCTCTTCTTTTAGTTGTGATCTTGAAGATGTTTTAGTTAGCGTATGACTGAAGCCCGGGCATCTGCCAGCAAAATGATTCAGGGAAATCCTACACTTGTGCTCTGATGATGATGTAATTCTGTATTGCCTATGCTTGTGCTTCCACCTGTGATGCAGTAGCTTATCAGTTGGGAACTTGCTCTCAGGTTTGGAAAAGGCTTTTTTCAAAGATGTATAGTAGGTCAAAGGTATTGTGCAGTCATGGGAGGAACCTTTCTTCATTCTGTAGGATTATTGTAACTGGGTCTGGATTTTGCCACTTCTGTTGAAGTCTGGTATTTCCATAATTAAAATTAAAAATACGTGCTTGCCAGTGACTAACTTGTGGACACTTAAGCTAGGAATTAAATTATTACTGTAGTTGTGTGAGAAGTTGAATGAAATTGAGAAAAAATGGAGAGATCAGCATCTTTCACTGAAGATCCCGCATTATTTCTAAATTACATGTGAGTAGGGGTGTCATTTTTATGCCTTTTTTGGGTGTGTGTGAAATCTAACAGATAATAAAACAACTTGAACAAAACTTATAAAGAAACTTAAAAAAAAAAAACAACTTGAAGACAGCACTAAAGCTACAAAACCTCTTAATTCCTCCTGTCTGGTTTTACTTTATCTGTAGAAAGATCCATCAGAATTATTAGTGAGGTGTTTAATGTGTCTGATAGGTTTCAGTAGCACAGAAAGCACAGTGGTTAGATCTCAGAAGTAAGATGAAACTGTTCTTAATGCCTTTTAAATGCCTTAATGCAATTATTGAATTATTTCTAGACCGATCAGAAGAAGGATGTTCTTCCTGCTCAAGAAGAATCTGACCTTGAAAAGAAGAGGAGAGAAGCTGAAGCATTACTTCAGAGCATGGGCTTGACACCGGAGTCTCCTGTTGGTAGGAATATTCATAGTATTTTATGAGATAAACGTTTTACCCTTGTTGTTAGTATTTGTGGCAATTATATATTGTTTCAGTGCATATCACTAGTAATACTTGTAAAAGATATATTTACAACAATCTACTGATTATTTGGAGTGTTTTAATTAAAATATTACATATGTAATATAGTATTACATATAGAGTATAATATTACATACATAATATAATATTCCTCTTGCACATCATTTTTCTGATGTTTTTTGTTTTTTTTTTCTCTTTCCATAATGCTTAATCTTTAATTCTGAGATTTTCTTATGGCATTGGCTCATTTTCTTGCTGCACCCTTTATTTCCTAATTTTTCCTTATCTTAAATATCTGACTGACTTTGATGGAGTAGTAGCAAAGCTAAGCATAAAATCTAATTGTCAGAGGTTCATATCTATTCATATCTATGCTGCTCGTCCATGAGTTGGTTTATTGTATTGTTGTGTTTAGCCTTTACTTGGCCGCCTCCCTCTGGAAGATGAAGTTGAAGAGGGTGATACTTCAACTCTGCCTTTTTTATCTCTAGTTCTGAAATCAAAGAGGAGTTAAAACTTAGTTTTCAGTTTGGCTCAGTGGTGACAAGAGTGTATTATTTCAACCAAGTTTGCAAACAAGAAGTAATAGTAATTGGTTATGGCTATGGTCTGTGTGATTACATCTTCATAATTATTTTTGGACAGTCCTCATGCATTATAAAAGCACAGCAAACGACGTTAAAGTTGCTCCCACGGCCACAACCTTAATTTTAATGTGTGTGGTGTGTATGTGATTCTGTTGGACTCCTACTTAACTGCACCTTGGCATGCACATGGATACTTGGAGAAGTTACTTTAATCCCTTTCAAGACATCCGAATCAAGCTACAGTGCCTGCTGGTAGCTCTCAGTCCTGCCTGAGGCACAAGCTGGGTGCAGGCTGGGCACTGGCGTGGTGTGGCAGCACACTGGTGATGCACCTGAACTGAAGCTATCTCCCATCTGAGCAGCATGGCCTGCAGTTAGCGTGAGCTCCTGCTGATGCTGGAGGTGGATAATTGGAGACTAGATTCCTTCATTAAAAAATTGCATTAAAAGCTCATAAGGCAGTTACAGTCCTGGTAACTGCCAACAAGAGGTGGCTTTCTTATAGGAAAAGAGACCTTAGTGTATGATAAAGAAAAAAGCATACTTATCCTTTTTACAAGAAACCACTTGTTTGTGAATGAAGAACTTTCAAGTTGGCATGCTCTATTGGGATAGTGCCACCAGAGGGCACTGTAGCATCAAACGAAACTACTGAATTTTTTTTGCCATGCTTACCCCGAGATAGAGCAGTGCAGATAGTTTTTGATAAGTTGCTAATGTCACCTGTTCAATTAAAGGAGGGTGACATTAAAGTGCCATTATTTCCAGTAATGCACAGAAACGTTGGGATGTACAGGCCTACAGACGTTGCTTTTAGTATGAACTGTTCAGTAGGTGGTGATGGTGAGTT